GGGAATCGAGATATGACGGCTTTGAAGATGGGCATCGTGGAGCCAGGCAAAAGGCAGGAAAGCGGGAAGGAAAGAAGATGCCGAGAGCACAGCGGTCCCTTGAGCAAAATGGGTGGGTGTGTCCAGCAGAGGAGACACTCCGGATCCACGGCCGTGAGTAGCTCGTGCTTCAGATACATCAGCCGAGGAGGGGGACAGATGATTCCGTGGCGACCTAACTGAGCTTCCAAGCACCTTCCTCTGCAGCACCTGGCCCCGACAACGTCTGGCAGTTCCTGTGTGACCGTTTGCCAGCGGCACGAGACTTTCTCCGGCGCAAAGCGCAGCTCCTACTGCTGGGCAGGGGCGGTCGCGAGAGCCGCAGGTGGCACTGTGAGGGGCCGCTGTTTGCCCTGCCTCCACCCGGCCGTGCCACCGATGGGTTAGCGCCACAGAGGTGGGGTTTGGGGTCCCCGCTGTGCCAACCCAGGAGCATGAGGAGAGGAGTCGGCCCCAGCCAAGCCCGAGAGGGTCAGAAAACAACCCAGCCCAAGGAGAGCGATTCGTGGAGCGGAAGCCACGTGACACGTTGGGGGCAGTGCTTCACTTCAAGGGCCACTGTAGGAAACCCCGTTTCCTGTAGCACAGCACGGGTGTGGTGCTCGCGTGTCCGTGTCCGCGTCCACTGCCCCCAGGTGCACTGCCCTTCGCTTCCGTTGGGTCGAAAACAGCAGCCGCCAGGGTCCGTTCAGAGACAGTTCAACGCAGCTCAACAGGAAGGATTGGCTCTGCCCCGGGAGCAGTGGGGGGCAGCCTGCAGGCCGTATGCAGCCCGTCTGGGACCCTTGTGTGGCCCGTGCACCCCCTCGTACCCCTGGGGTGCTGGAGCCCCACGCTCAGCTGCTCCTCCCCCTCCCTCCCAGCCCTTCAGGGGCACCATGAATCCGCCGATTCCCAGTGCTCAGGCTTTGGGAGGGAGAGGGCAGGCCCTGGCATGGAGCATAGGCAGCCAATGCAGGGGCTCCACGTTTGGGAGAGGCGGCAGGGGCGGTGCAGGGCGGGGCAGAGATTTGCTGTTGGATGGAAGTGTCGATGTTTCCGTTTTTAGGACGTGACGTTGCTGACGGGTCGGTGAGTCGGTGAATGGCGAAAGCATTTCGCCTGGGCTGGAAATAATCAGCCTGCAAAGGATTCATGCAGCTCATCTCATTGTGGGGGCCATGGCTAGTGCACACGACTGTGCGGCCCCCGGAGAGGAAGGAGGGCCACTAGCCTTGGCTGCCCATGCCTGCCCTCGACCGGTGTTTCTGCAGCGCCGCAGCCAGGACGCCTTGCGACGCCCAGTGGCTCCGTTTCACCGTTTGCAGCCAAGGGGAGGGCGGGAAGCAAACCGCAAGTAAACACGCCGGCACGGCCGGTTCCCAGGGCTCTCAAAGCGGTTTCATGGGCCCTAGACCCAACCCAAACCTAGCCACAGTCTGGGCCTCCGACTCCCAGCTGGGTTGCAGGGTCTGTGTCAGACCCCCCGGGGCCTGGTTAACACAGCTAAGCCCAGAAGGGGCCTGACACGAAAACGTTTGGACGCCCCGGCACCCAAAGTGACATGGCGCCAATCTCTCGGGTGGAGAAGGGTGACGTGTTCCTCCACAAGAGCAGACCCCCGGGAGGTACCATCAGTGACCTTCTTAGCTCACATATGCTAAGCTGGACCGTTTGGGAGACTGACGTGTCCTAGGAGGAGGTAATAGAAGAAATCTTGCCCCTGGGAAGAATCCCAAGCACTGTTACAGGGTGGGGACCGACTGGCTGGGTAGCAGTTCAGCAGAAAAGGGCCTGGGGATTCCAGTGGGTGAGAAGCTGGAGATGAGTCAACAGGGCGCCCTGGTAGCCAGGAAGGCGAATGGCACATTGGGCTGCATTTGGAGGAGAATTTCCAGCAGATCCAGAGAAGTGATTATTCCCCTTTATTTGGTGCTGGGGAGGCCACATCTGGAGTATTGTGTCCACTCCTGGGCCCCCCACTACAGAAAGGACGTGGGCGCATTGGAGAGGGTCTAGAGAAGGCAACACAAATGATGATTTGGCTGGAGCACATGACCTGTGAGGAGAGGCTGAGGGATTTGGGCTTGTTCAGTCTGCAGAAGAGCAGAGGGAGGGGGGATTTGAGAGCAGCCTGCAACTCCCTGCAGGGGGGTTCCAAAGAGGCTGGAGAGAGGCTGGTCTCAGGGGGGGCAGATGGCAGAACGAGAGCAAGTTGCAGTGGGACAGGGCTGGTTGGATATTAGGACATGCTGTGTCCTTATGAGGGTGGGGAAGCGCTGGGCTGGGTTCCCCGGGGAGGGGGGGAATTTCCGTCCCTAGAGGTGTCTGAGTCTCGGTTTGACACTGCCCTGGTTGGGCTGATGGGGTTGGGTTGGTCCTGCTGTGGGCCGGGGGCTGGACTCGGTGCCTCCTGGGGTCTCTGCCCGCCCTGGGGTTCTATGGTTCTATGTTGATGTAGCCCCTGGAAGATCCTGCCCTGGGATTCTCTGATTCTAAGTTGATAAGTTCAAAGTGCAACATGTGGCTGAAAAGCCGGATGAGCAGGGATGTTGTGTGATCTTCAGGTCCCCGGTTTCCCTCTCCTTTGATGGGGCCCTGCTCCTTCCTGGTGCTACCACCAGATAACAGGACAAGCAGTGATTCACCAGGACCTGCTGGTACCTCCCGCGGGTCTGAACGAACCTGAGGCCGCTCGGCCGAGTTGCTGAAGAAGTGCACAAGCGCACATTGAAATGGACGGCTCCGCGGAAGCACTCGCAAGCCGCTCTCCACTCTCCCAGACCTATTGTGCTTCCCTTAGGAGCCTGGTTTGTCGTGTGAACCCCCGACTTTCACCTCCCTTAAAAGAACTTGCTAACAAAACCAGACAGGAAAGCACACGAGTGTCACAATCACTATTACTGAAAAAATGCCTCCTTTGTATTTTTACCATATCGTTGTAAAGTAAATCAATTCGAATGTAAAGATTGTACTTACATGTCCGAGCGTATTATGCAGCGCAGTAGAAACAAGTCATTGTATGAAATTTTAGTTTGCCGTGACTTCGCTGGTGCCTTTTATGTAGCCTGATCTAAAGCAAGGCAAATACCTGGATGTGCAAATACCAGGCCACATCTGGAATAGTGCGCGGGAAGAGATGGTGGGAGAGCTGAGGTGGGCCCCGCCATGTGCTGAGCATGGGGGACGTGATAGTGGGTTGACTTATGAGGAGGGATTTGGGCTTGTGTAGTCTGCAGAAGAGAAGAGCGAGGGGGGATTTGGTAGCAGCCGTCCACTCCCTGCAGGGGGTCCAAAGAGGCTGGAGAGAGGCTGGTCTCAGTGGGGCAGGTGGTAGAACAAGGAGCGATGGGCTCAAGTTACAGTGGGGGAGGGCTAGGTTGGAGATTAGGACAAGCTGTGTCCTTATGAAGCGCTGGGATGGGTTGCCCGGGGAGGGGGGTGGAATCTCCATCCCTAGAGGTGTTTAAGTCCCAGCTTGACACAGCCCTGGCTGGGATGGTTGAGTTGGGCTGGTCCTGCTTTGGGCGGAGGCTGGACTCATGACTCCTGAGGTCTCTGCCGCCCTGGGGTTCTAGGGTTCTATGTGCTGATGCACCCCTGGAAGATCTCGTGCACCCCGGGGTGTAGGAACTCCTGGCTGACAACTGCCGGAGTAGAAGGCTGCTGTTGTCGTATCTCCCCTTTAAACACTGACCCTGGGAGTTGCAGAGCGACGCCCTTCTCTTCAGCACCAGGCTGCAGATCGGGAGGGTCGCTGTGGGCAAGGGGGGTGTTTTCTTTCCTCTTCTCTTTTAGTGCCCTGGGTTCACGATTCCATTGCTCGTCCGTCCTGTGCCTTAGTGCCCCATTGTGAGTCCTTCCTGCTAGGGCTGTAACTGTCGGTTTTTACTGGTCTGGGACCACCTTTCCCATCCCAAGACCCCACGCCCATCTGGCGAGGAACCCCATGGACACCCCTCTGCCAGCCCAGAGCCCCAGGCTGAGACCCCTCGGTCTAAGGTCAGAAGGGAATTGCTGTGATTTGCCAGAAGAGACACTGGCTCTCTGGCTATGTCTACACTCTGGGGGTTTTCCACCACATCCAGGGAACGCTTTTGTTTGTGGCAGAGCAGACGCGCTCTTTCGGAAGCTCTGTCTTCCTCCTCCCACGAGGAAGAAGGGCTCTTCTGAAAAAGGAGGCTTTTCCGAAGTTTGGCCCAGTGTAGACGGGCCACATTTCGGAAAAGCCTCTTCCGAAAAATCTCTGTGTGCAGCACAGGCCACGTCTACACTGCACTGCCCCTCCGGAAAAAGCTACGCAAATTGCGAACTACAATTTGTGCAGCTTCTTCCGCTTCTTTTTCTGGAAGAGGCTTTTTCAGCATTTGGCCTGTTTACACTGGGACAAATGTCGGGAAAATACCCTCTTTGGGAACATCCCTTCTTCCTCGTAAAACAGGGATGAGTTGATCCTCCAAGATAGACAGGAAACGCCCTCTAAGGCCAGCCAGTCCTTCTCCGGACCAGGACTTGGGATGTTCCCCCCAGTGGGAGATGGGCCAATGAAGCTGAGTGGAGGGAAGATCGCCCCCAGCTTCCTTTGCTCGATTTCAGCCTTTCATGCCTCAGGTTTGTTCCTCCCCCGCTGGCATTTCTCCTTTCGGGGGTCGATGGTTGTTGCCTTTTTCCAGCCCCATGGTGGCTGTTGGGAGCTATCTGGCGCCCACCAGCGGTATCCGAACGCCTGGCAATCTGTCACGTTGCTAGCCTCACAACGGCCCTGTGACGTAGGGAATGGCTCTGCTATAGAGTTGAGGAACTGAGGCCCGGGGAGATTAAGTGACTCACCCAACACCACACAGGAGTCTGTGGCAGAGCAAGAGCGCCGCAGGGTTGTGCCGTAACCCCTCAGTCCCCTTCCTTCCATCTCGGTAGCACGCCTGGCCCAGTGCAGGAAGGTCCACCCCCGAATGTGACCCTGTGTTTGCTTTGCCCCCCAGAGGAGTTCCTCTCCAGCCTGGATCACTATGAAATTGCTTTCCCCATCCAAGTGGACCAAAACGGGGACTTCCTCACCTTCGACATGCGACGCCAGCCCAAGCGGCGCGCCCGGCGCGGCCTGAGCTCCCTGGCCTACGAGGCAGCTGAGCCGCAGGTCTTCTACAAGGTCCCCGCCCAAAGCACCCAGTTCCTCCTCAACCTGACCCTGCACTCCAACCTGCTGGCCGAGCACTTCACCGTGGAGTACTGGAAGCGGGACGGGGTGGACTGGCAGCACGACTTCCATGAGGACTGCCACTACGCAGGCCACCTGCAGGGTCAGCACCTGAGCTCCAAAGTCGCCATCAGCAACTGCAACGGGCTGGTAAGCGTCCCGCGGGAGGGGGGGGGGCGCCGGGCCAGTGCCGAAAATGGGGCAGCTAGCGTCGACCCCA